GATCTCTGCTGAGCAAAACTTTAAGAATTTGGGGGGTATTTTTCATGAAGTAACATTTCTTGGGGGACGAGGAAATTGCTTTTTGCATGAAAACCCAGCATTTTGTACCAAAAGCCTTGAATTTGGCCCAGAACATTTTGTATTTTGCACAAAACAAGAGGGTTTTTGTGCTACCCACCACCAGACACACACAGTTTAGGGGATATTGCAAATGCTATTGCTGGTGGGAAAAATTCTGGTGATTTTGCTCTATCACAGGAGTGAAAATCTCAATATATGGAAATATCTTTTCCCCCCTTTCATCAGGAAATCAATATTAGCTACATCCTTAATCAAATTTGGTGTCCTGAGCTTTTCAGGTTTAACAGGTCCAAGGAGCCGAGCCTATGTCTCGGATCTGGCTCAGCACCTTGGATAACTCCTTCGAAGCTCGGACTAAAAGCCGGTGTGAAGTCCTTATCCCCGCAATACCAATATTGCCACCGTCTGCTGCACTATCAGCATTCGTCCCAATGACTCTCAATTTTAGATTAGAGTTGTGTGCTCATGTTCGCTGCCTCAAGCAGCAAAAAAGGCTTGAAACAGTTCTGTTCCCTCCCCTACACCCACCACCACCACCATCAGAATGGGCTGAAAACATCAATAAGTCATTGTCCTCGTAGTTTAAACAGTTCTGTTCCCTCCCCTACACCCACTACCACCATCAGAATGGGATGAAAACATCAATAAGTCATTGTCCTTGTAGTTGGTGGATCTCGTGAGAACAGGGCCTCCCAGCTCAGACAAAGCCAGCTTTCCCCCCACCACTCCTTAGCAGGACACTATTCTCATGCTTAACATGGGGGGAGAAACCATCTTAAGGGAGCTTGACGTGGTAATGGGCCATGAAGCATATGGCAGCATACTGCCATCTCCAGAGCCATATGTACAGGCCTGCAGACTGTCAGGCTGTGATACACGACAGATAATATCCATGATAAATTATTCACTTAACCAAAAATTGTACATCAAACCTCAGCAGCTGGTAAAAGCTGGAGGCTTGCCCAGTACATTAAGGGAAGTTTGCTTCCTCAAAGCTTGGGCCGTTCTTTGGGGGATTCTGAATTATGCATGTTACCCTGAAAGCTAATGCCGTACATGCACATCCAAAGTTATTATTAACCTCATCAAGCAGGGAAGGGATAGAAGAACCAGCTGGCTTTCAGCTAACATGTTTAGGACACGGGGAGGATTCGAAGGAGTTACTGATCAAGAGGAGCCCCATCCGTTCTTGACATCTTGGTCGAGTTTTTCAGCTGCTGCATCTGTTTGGAACTGAAATAACAACATATGCGCCACATGCATTCTCCCCGTTTTCTGGCACTTGTCTTTGGTAAATGAGTGCTTCACTTTTCCTCCTGTTTCAAGGGTTTCTGCCTGCCTGCCTGATTTCCTTCCTGCCTTCAGTGTGGCACTATGGGGGAAAAATCTTTATGGGCAATACAGTTGCTATTCTTTAGGTTTCGGACTCCTACTCTAGATGCCTTTCATTGGGGCTGCAGTTTTGCAGTGGGCCACTCCAGCTTTTGGTCTGAACTTCAAGGAAGCAATTGGAGTTTCCAAAACCATTGGGGGAACAGGGTTCAGGTTCTTGCTTTGTTCCCATTTAGCTCAGACAAAAAATGGAGCAGAGACACAGCCTCATGAAAACAGGGGAGTGCAAAGTATAATAGTCTCAGAACTCCACAGCTGGAAGGGGAGACACAGCCTCATGAAAACAGGGGAGTGCGAAGTATAATAGTCTCAGAACTGCACAGCTGGAAGGGACCCTACGGATCACGGATTCGATCCCCTGTCAAGGAGACTCAGCGGGGAATCAAACTCCCAACCTCTGGCTCTGCAGCCAGGGACCCAAACAACAGAGCTATGAGCAGAGGCATTTGCTCTCTGTTGTCCATGCACATCTTGTGTGCATGTAGGCATAAATTTGCCAACGTTCGCTGAAGCTGGCATTTCACAAGGTGGTTCATTTTTTTAACTACTGCTTCAGGTCATTTTTTTCAGAGGTGCCCAATGATCAGTGAGACTACAGCTCCCACAGGAGATCTAGATTTCCCAGGATGCACTGGGGCACTTTTCTTTTGGGACATTAACACTCGTAGGTCTGCGATAGCCAAGCAGCCCCCAAAACAGGCCTTGTTCGAGTGAAAAGGAAGTGTGTATAGGTGTCTTACAACACCTTCCAGAACTGACACCAAAGAAAGATGCTCTGAACCCTCGCGAATTGAGGAGAGGATGCCTCCTAGCTCAGCGTTGCACATGGATCTCTCAGAAAGCAACTTAAAAAGAGAAGGGAAACTGGAAATGAGTTGCGCTCCTCCATTCTTGAAAGCACCAACAGATAAAGCAAAGGTAATTAAAGCAGATTATGCCATAAAAGGAACTTTGATTGCAATTGCCAGAATAAATATAGCCAAAGCTGGAAATTAGCACATTTACCCACAATTAAAACATAGTTACCGGGATTGCAGTAATAAACATAATTGCTCTGAAGGCTATGATGGATACTGGATCCGTCATGTACATCTTTTCTAAAAACCTTGGCCTGTGTTGAATTTCACATTTCTCATGAACTGAAATGCTAGCCTTTGATTAACCTCTCCTCCTGCCCTTCCCTCTCAGCCTCTGGGACTGTCGTTTAATGCCTACTATTCTTTCTTCTTCCATACAACTCTAACCAATCATGTACACCACATCTGCCAGGAGCTCAAACATTCTCCTCTTATAAACATCCCCTATCCGATCCTCCATCTTAGACTCTGAGACCATCTTCTAATTCCGCTTCTATATATAATTCAATTTCTTTTTAAAACCTCTGCTCTCTGCTTTATAAATGTAGGATATTGTGCTTCTGTACCAACAATTCAAAAAGCCAGGAAATGGCCTGATATTGCTGTACAACATTGTGTCCAGGTTACCACCATGAAAAAGGATGCCAAGGTTTACATATCAAAGGGCAGCCCAAATGCTGATGACACCCATGGCAGCAGTCAAGATGGTCTACAGGATACCCTCTTGTGCTCAGTACCATACACAAAGTGAAAGCATGCAGGGGGAAATCCTAGAAGCAGACTCTCTTTTTTTCATCAGTTAAGCATTTCTCACCCAAACACAAAGCAATTGTCAGAGCTATATTTCAACATGTCTGAATGGTGGACGTTGTAACCTTCAGTTTCCACTGAAACTCAAACTCAACAAATATCTCTGTGACAGCCAAACACACATCTTAGTTGCATGAACTCAAACAGCTTCTGACTCAAGGTGTGTGAGTTGTTCAAGGCATGCTTTAGCCTTGCAACTCAGCAGTGAGTTTCCATGGCTAAGCAAGAACCAGGTCTCCTGCATGCTAGTTTGACATTCTACTGGCTACATCATCCTAACTCTCCAAACAACTCTTTGTTCTGCTCCTTGCAGTCATGGAAGATAGCTGTGATTGCAATTATGAACAGCTCTGATTTCACTTGTTGGGTGTGAATGGTATGGTCCAGCTGGCCAAACCTGCATCCTCCATGGATGAAATCAAGGCACCAGAAGGGCTAGAGCAGGAGTTCCCAACCTGGG